AGGTGGCCTCTGCATAAATCTAAGTAAGATGCAAGAAGTATCCACAAGTATTTTGCAATTAACATATTTAAGGGCTACCTGAAATATGATCCACACGTTTGTCTGCTGCCTTTGATCTCATTCCCAGAGTCGCAACAACAAAAACAGCTAATATCCTTATCTTCAGATGCAACATTCTACTGATTTCTCTCCGGAGTTCCATATTTTTTTAACCAGTTTCACAAACGCTTTCAAAGTTGTGTGTGTGTTTTTTTTAACTTTTTTTTTCTTTTTTTTTTCGGAAGGGACTGTAACATCTATCAGAAAACATGAAAAAAAAACGTGGTTTTTCACAATTATCTCTGGACGATTTGCCTGAAATTCCTGATAGTTCTGAACGCTGGTATTCCAGAGAACGGTGACTTCTTTGCACTGTACAACTTGTAGTGGCTCATGCTCCCACCAATTCTCTTTGCCAGGTGGGGAGGTTGATTGCGCCGTATATTATGGACCAGTATATGTAGTGAGTAGCCCTACTATGCCCTTGCAAGTTCTCTGTTGGCGCCAGTCGGTCGCAACCAGATATTGCCATCAGTTAGCCCTGGACGTTCTCCATATACGGGACCGGATGGGCTGCTGATAATTTTCAGATCATTATATGTATAATTCCTGGTATGAAGGTATTGATCCTTGACAGCAATTATGAACGCTTCAGTTTCTTCTTCTTCTTCTTCTTCTTCTTCTTATTATTATTATTATTATTATTATTATTATTATTATTATTTCCTTTGATTCCTGGTGTATATTCATTTATTTCCTGGTCTCCACCAGAGACCTAAGGTCAGGAACGGCAGCATGACATTTTCCACCGAACAGACATAACCGTTCGTAAGATGTGGGCTGAACTCGTGAGAACAATCTATTGTCTTTCTTTAAGGCATGGGCTTCCAGGTACTATTTCATTGTGTCTATTAGAATCTTTTCAAATCAATCCGAAGTCTCCAACTACAAGTGAAACTGTTGATGTCCACATGTGTCACATTTTTGAGGTTTCGATTTCAAGTTCCTTGTATTTAGATAGCTTTTCGAAGATCTTCAAAGATACATTCCCGTCTGCAGGGACTGCCATGTCAATAAGAAGAAACATTTTGTCTTTTCAGTCTCTAATCACGATGCCTGGGCAATTAGCGTTGATTGATCTGCCTGTGTGTATTACAGAGTCCCATAAAATTGTTACATGTCCTATCTCTGTAATCGGGTCTGGGAGGTGTTCATACCAATTTCTTGCAGTTTCCTTTCCATAAAAGTTGCAGGTTTTCCACTCGTGATATTGGCCCACTCTATCATGGCGCGTCTTCAGTGAGTGTCAATACCACGCAATCTGATACAATTGTTTATTTATCACATAATCTACATTTTAAGATAGCACAAATTTTCAGTTTGTGTGCTTGGTAATTTCAAGTTAGGAAGCATTGATCTTACGCAGCAAGGATAAAACCTTTGGTTTCAGTTTTTAGCCATTGATTGGTATGGAGTTTGTCTACATCAGCTTGTTTGGTACGTGCAGAGTATTGACTGTGAAGCGGTTTATCTTGCCATCGTTTCTCTATCTGGTCGGTTGCATTTGCCTTTGCTTTCTTTTTTAAAGTATTTTGCAGCTGCAGTCAGTGTATTATGCTTTAATTGCATTTCTACATCCATTTCAAACTCCATGTTGAACTTGTTTTATTGTTATTATTATTATTAAAGAAGAGTAAATTTTAAGAAAACAAAAAAAAAATACATAGAGTTTAATAATGTTTAACAATATTTCGACAGTATGCCTGTTTTGTTCGAGTTATGTTTACAAGTTGCATTCAATTATAAAAAAAAATATTAAAGATGCAAGTGTTTGTACAAAACGTCGCCTGTCTAGACTAAAGATCTGTACTGTTATTGAACGCGAAAAGAAGTGAATGAAACACAGCTAACGTGCGTGGAATGCAACTGAAACGTGAGTAACATGATGGGATCGTTCACATTTTGAAATTTTCCGTTAGTTTATTAGTTATTAAGATCAATAAATCAAAGAGATTAGTATCAATCTGTTGAAGCTTAAATAAGCATGGAATAATACAACACAAAATGTACGTTAACAAAATGTATTGAAACAAAGAATAGGTACACAATATTTACAGTTAGTTTGGTATATTCTTGGGAAGACTGTTCCTGCATAATGGGTTGACTAAATCGCAGTCGGGCAGAGTCTCTGGATTCAATCTCTTAATCTCTACTATCTTCCCCGTCTTCCGGTACCAACCCATATTTATATGGTCGGTAGTCCGCTTATGTAAATTAGGTGTATCATACACAACACAATCATATGAAACTCTCTTGTCATTTCGTTAATTCCACCGCGGTGGGACGTTAACAATTTGCATATGTAATTATCTTCACGCGTTTTAAGTGTCGACAGGTCGGAGGGTTCTGGATATTTTTTCAGCATGTCTACTTTAAGCTGTTCGTAGAAATTGCAGCCGTTCTTGATAAAGTGTGCTGCAAGTTCTATTGATGTCGCAATGATCCCATTTCCCATTAAATATTATTATTATTATTATTATTATTATTATTACTACTACTACTACTACTAATAATAATAATAATAATAATACTTATGTATGTTATGTTTCCTACTTTTTATTCGGTAGGGCCGGGTCTAAACTATGGTCCCTAAGCCCTACAAGAGAATTATCATTTAATTGATAGCAATTTTCTTAGTAAATGGATATTCCTGGTAGGGTGAGCTTCTGGGCAAATTGTATGTTGGTGTTACCTGCGACACTGTTAGTAAAATTTTCCATTCCTTTTCTCACCAGGCCCAGTGCTCCGATTACTATTGGTACAGTTTCAGTGTTTATTCCCCACATCCTATTATTATTATTATTATTATTATTATTATTATTCGCACGGTTTCTCGTTTTTTCAATAGATCTTGCAGTATGAATGTTGGCCATCATGTTGCACGACTTCACATAGATTTCGCAGAATATTTGCAATACCAAGCAACGTGGAATTTTGAGGTAATGTGATAGTAGACCTTGTTTCGATTTTATAACTAGGAAAATATTGATCTGAACATCCCACATTATTAATATTATTTTGAGCTCCTGTCCGACTCTTAGATTTTTCACCCGGTTGCTGATTGTCTTATGTCATCTCCTTGTAGCTTAGAGACACAACATATGAAGTGCCCGACGCGGCACTGTCAGCAGCACACTCCCAATGATGTCATGTGTTCAGAGTTTTTTTTTTTTTTCTTAATGTTCTGCTTTGTTCAGTTATAGATCCAAATCCATTCCTTGGACTTAAAGCCACCATGAACTTGTGCATGATTCATCTGACAGAATCCACCTTACTCCCTAACCAGTGCGAAGATTATTATTATTATTATTATTATTATTATTATTATTATTATTATTATTTCTCTCAATTTATGCGATTCTTATTCATAATATACATTTTAATATTCCTTGATTTTCTTTCCCTAATACATCATCTTATTATATGCACACATTTTCCTTTTATGCTTCATTCTAAAATATTGAATGGTATTTCCGTCAAGCAGAACATCTATCTACCTATATATATATATATATATATATATATATATATATATAGAGAGAGAGAGAGAGAGAGAGAGAGAGATACATACATACATATATAGATATATATATAGAGAGAGAGAGATAGATAGATACATATATATATATATATATATACCTTTCTTAGATATATATATATATATATATATGTAAGCAAATATATATATATATGTGAGCAAATATATATATATATATATATATACATCTTTCTTTCTGTATCACGATTTACATGACTTTTTTCTAGATGCAACTGATATTCAATGAAGAATTATCCCTTAAAATTTGAATCTATCCAGCGTAATATATTTTATTTATCTCCAGTCAAAAGGAATTATATCTATCAGGAATATGTTCCATGCGAATAAAATTTTAGAAATTTAACAGCATTTTTATCTAATGAACATTTTAGAAAGTAAAATATTTTCACAGCTTTTTTCTTAAACTGAAACTAAATTTGCGAAATGCATACGGTTTTTATTTTTACTATTGATTTACTTTTTTTCAGGTGTGAGTTTTCTCTCGTCACTAGGAACCACTCCCAACTCGACTCCATGATTTCAACGTCTCAAGTTATCTTCAGAGCTCAAGGGAAACTCATATATACGATCCATTGCTAAAATTGCTGGGGAAATGATCGCTTCATTCTACCTTTACAGAAAGTAGATTAACTCTGCCATATTTCATTATTACAAGTATCAGATTAGACGTAAAATAGAGGATTACAACCATATTTTGGAAGGAGGCCGTTCAATCATGGCTTTCCAGGCTTGACAGAGTTTAAAATCGTTTGCGTTGTCATGTGGTGGTGGTGGGGGTACTTATTTTCTACTCTACAAGCATTTTCCCTCAGACGCAAAGAAGCAAGACTTTTCGCCACGCTGTCGTTATTTCTCAAGGAAATGTTTAGATGAGTTCCATTCTTTAGTTCCACCATTTCATTTTCTTGGTTTATTCGTTATCTATAGCTCATCCAACCTTTTGCAGGTGATTTGAAGCCAGAAATATTTGGGGATTGAAGAGATTTTGGGGGAGATAATAATGATTTATTGTTACAAAATCAACTAATTAATCCATAATTGGGAAAGAAGACGTGGATCCATACCTTTCCCAAGGGAATATAACTAATATTCCTGAAAATTGTTTTAATACGATTGATTGATTGCAGGTTAGTTAGAAAACAATTTTAAATTGCAAGAATTTCTTTTTGGGGACAATAAGCGTTTAATGATAATAGTCTTACTAATTAGCCCATAGCTGGGGTAGATTAGGTAAATTCATGCCTTTCTCAAAGGTATTTGCGCCTAAATGAATATAACAAACCCGACGGGAATTGGAACTTGTGTCTCCGCTTTCCAATTCCGAGGCATTATCTATTACACATCCTCGTATTCCCAAGCTGTCACCCATCTAGATACTGACCAGGCTCGACGTTGTTTAACTTCGGTGATCGTACGGGAATCGGGGTTTCAACGGGATGTGACCGTACGCCGAAACCAGTTCAAACATTTATATCAATAACACACCCTGGTATTTCGGCAGAGTTAAAACATCATCATCTTCTCCATATTTCAAATGCGCTGGTGGAGGTTCTGCTTATACAGCTTTTCCAAAGAAGTGGTAATTTGTGGAAGTGACTCCTGTGTGGATGCTTCCCTGAATACTACAATCTTAATTAAAGAGTTATTTTTATCTATCCTTCTTCCGATCCATTATATATATATATATATATATATATATATATATATATATATATATATATATATATATATAGTCATCCACAGACAGACTGTTTCGCAGTATCACTGCTATTCAGGGTGGCCTAGAGATCTGGTTGCCTCTAGATAGGATCGAAACCCGACTGAACTGGCGTCAGTCGGGGATTCTACCACTAAGCACACGGCAGGGGATGAAGGTGAATTAAAGCCTATTTAATTCTAGATAAACACACAATGACTGAGAGAACTCGATTCGATTTACCGAAGAGTCTTGCATTATTAGCCGTAATAGTCACTGTTTACAAACCCTCACTTCCTCCCCAGAGAACACAACCGAAATAAATTTCTCAGGAGCATATGAATTGTCATCTACAAACAGAGTGTTTCGCTGTCACCTCCTCTTAAAACCATATCACATAAATCATTTATTAACCTTCTATCTTGATTGGGTGAAGCTTAATACAAAAAATAATTTACTTTGTTTTTATAGTGACGTCATTTTCATGAAAGGAACCAAATTATTCACAGTTCGAGATTCGCTGTTATCAGCAAGAGCTTAGTATATATATGTGGATTGTTGTTATATGATAAAGATATGCTAACGCTTATATTCAGTTAGATTGTGGTCGGTCATATGTGGATTGTTGTTATATGATAAAGATATGCTAACGCTTATATTCAGTTAGATTGTGGTCGGTCTATTTTTATAAATTTTTAATTACTTTTTCAACAGTGTTTTGGTCGTTCGACACGTCCGGCTTCTTTCTTGTTTCCGCGATAAAGACTTACTTTTACGAAAACAGACCGCTCGCGTGAGTTGAGCGACGTAATGTACTGTGACAACGCGTTGCTTTGCAGCTCAGACCAGACACCAGGTTCGTTGAAGCCTTGCAGCATCTTCCACTCAAACGCTTGTGTTTTTAAATTTTCCTTCAGCCATATAACCCACAAGTAACAAAAAGTAACAAAACAAATTCTCGCAGTAAACCAGATTTTATTATTGGGTTGTGACCTACTTCTATAAGCGATCGAATTTGAGACGAGGCATAAGTGAGGCTGGGAGGTGAACAGTCTCGTTCTAACTGGCCCGCTTCGTGCCGCTGTGTCTTTTCGAGGAATACCGGTCAGTTTTATCGCTAACATGGTTCTTTGTCCTGTCGTATTCGTCTAAAAAAGCAATTTATCTTCATTCAGCGTCTTCTCATTGTCTATCCTGCGACAGTTCCAATTGTTTTCAATTCAACAAGACCTCAGCTGATTGATATTTGCTACAAACTGAATCATAGCCCATTTAAACGGGACAAAATGAACATGAACGGACATATTAATATTAATAGGGTCGCGGAAAGAAAATGACGAGATTGCTTGACTGCTCGGCGATTTGACGTCAATTATTAAATCGATGTCTGAAAGTTCGAGATAAGTTTCAACCAGTAATTTAAAGAGACACAAAATCAATCGTCAAGGTGAAGAATGTATCGCATATGGTTTTGACAACTTCTTTTACGTGCCATATTTTTCGAGTGCTATGGTTCGCCACAAATTCCTTTATTTTTCTTTTCAAATGTTTGCCATCATTTTTCCCTTAATTTGCCCTTCATTTATTCAATCCCCTCAGATTACTTGCTTCCCCTCTGCTTCTCTTGCTTTCAGTATGTTCTGTGAGTGTTAAATTCTCCAGACCCTCTTTTCCCATTAAGTCACAGAATTTCTAGTTTTCTCTTTCTGATTGCAAGTATTAGTTTACTTATAATTCTTTTTTCATTTTCTTTTTTTTTAAGCATGTCACCCCAAGCAAGGCGGGTGTGCCACTAGTACTCAAGGGATTGCAGAGAGTGAAAGTAAGAGAAAAGACTGGGTATAAGGGGATTGGGGATAAAAAAAAGTACGGGATCAAGGCATCAGAAGATAACGATTGACGTTACATTTAAATTTTTGAAGATTGTAGTTATCAGGGAAGCAAATAAGAGGAAAGGAGTTCCACTGTCGGGAAGAGCTGATGATCACTGATAAAATGTGGGACCTATATGCCAATCTAGTAGCACGCTTAAATTCATGCAGTCAGGGCACCAGGGAAACGAGCTCGTCAGAGTAGTTGCTATGAACATATTTGTAGAAAAGACAGAGGGAAGCCACATCGCTTCTGTGGGAAACTGACTGGAGTCAAGATGCCAAGTCAGGACCGATCACATTTCAGATCCGTCTTTAGACTTTGTCAGGAACCTCAAAATGAACCGCCGGAGCACCAGACCATATATGGTAATATTCAATGCATGGGCGAATGGTAGATTTGGAGATGTGTAGGATGGACTCAAACCAGAAAAAGCTTTCTGGCCCGACACAGAGAACCAACTAGATGCAGCTATTGGCTCAATGTAGTTGTGCCACCTCAAGATAATGGAAAACGTGTGTACAAGAAAGCGCAGTGAGACACACTCGTGAAGAGCATAAACCTTGCTGATAGGAGACAGCGAAGTTTTTCTATGGTGGCTAAATGAGAGCAGTTTCGTTTTGGAGGCACTAAAATTCACAAGCCATTTCTGCCCCAGTCAACTACTGATTGCAGGTCTTTTCGAGGCCAACGGCCAGGTTAACTTTGTCAGCATTGCCGGATTTACTAATAAGACAGGAGGAAATGGTAATGTCGTCTGCATAGATAGATACTTGAGAACTGATGACACCAAGATCATTGATGAAAATCAAAAACAGTGTAAGACTCAAGATATAGCCTTAGGGGAACACCATTATTCGTATGAAAGCAACTGGAAGAGAGCCCGTTCAGGACGACATTTATTTCATGATTTAATAGAAATTATTTGATTAAATCAAATAATCGTCCCGTAATACCGTAGCTATGAAGCTTACATAGAAGGCCAGCATCCCAAACTCTGTCAAAAGCCTTCGAGATATCTTGAGTCACAGTTCGAGATTTGCTGTTATCAGCAAGAGCTTAGTATACATATTCAGTTATGGCCGTGAGCACATCAGTTGTAGACCGAGCAAAGAGGAATCTCTAATGTTGAAGACTTTGCCAAAGAGTGGTAGGTGATTAATAGGGCGGTATTTAGAGTTGTCAGAAGAGTCTCCAGTGTTCTTAAAAACAGGGACGATAGAGGAGGACTTCCAACAGGCTGGAAAGCAAGAATCAGCGAAGGAATAGTTGTATAGTTTGGAATGACCTGGAGCCAGCTCAGGGGCGCCTTTCTTTAGAACTACGGCTGGTATCCCGTCACTTCCACTTACTTTATGAGAGTCTAATTTAGAGATGGTGTCAATACCATTGACGGGGACATCTCACTCAGTTGAGCCTGAGTTCTATAAGGGAAATCAAGTGTGGGCACTCCGGATGAATCGAGTGTGGTAATGGATGAGAATTTCCGAGCAAATCATTCAGCCTTATCTGCTGTGGATGTTGGGACTTCGAATTGATTGAATAGAGAAGGGATTGAGAATGTGCAGTTGTTCAGCAAACTCTTGCAGATCCGCCAATAATCTCTAGAAAAAAACTTGCGAGAATCAAATCGTTGCTTCATGCTATCAGCAAAAAATAACTTTGCTTCACTGAGGACACACTTGCACTCATTACGAGCAGTGACAAAGAGACGTCTGTCGCAATCTGACATTCGGTACAGGCAGAAGAAGTGATTCATGTGGGCTACAGCAGCTCATCAGGCGGGTGCGAACCAAAGAGATGAGAGCGATTGGTGATTTCTTTCGTTCGTACATCTATTGGACCTTATTTTGGATCACGTGGTTCACGAATGATGGAGTGTCCGCTTCCACAAAATGTGAAAGTTGGCACTATGGCGATCATAACATTGTACACACCTACACTTTCCTCGGTCTGAGAGACTTAAATTCCGTCACTACTAGCCAAGCCATTACCAGCAAAATAAAAAAAATATTCACTCCTTACATTACTTTTCGTTCAAGCAGCCACATGAAAAAGTTGCATGTCTTATATGTATATATCTCTTTGAATTTCTCGTTCTTTTAATCATTTTATTTCTCTCTCTCTCTCTCTCTCTCTCTCTCTCTCTCTCTCTCTCTCTCTCTCTCTCTCTATCCAAACTCCCTGTCTATACACGACTCCGATTCATATGTTTCTCCTTTAATAGCCTTTTTCCGAACAGATACCTTGCCAATTACATACCCACGCCCTGTAACCATCTATACTAATCCATTAAGGGGGGGGGGTAGTGAATCCACAAGCATCCCCGTGTAACCCCCGTTACCCTCTCTCCCAATGGGTCTTTTAGTCCTCTAGTTCATGAGCGAACTATATATGCATATCTTTTTTTCTGAAACATCCATGGCTCTCAGCCTGGCTCTCCAGTTGAGTTTTCTGAGTTAAACTTTTTTTAATAATAATAATTATTTTCTCTTTTCGCTTTGTCTTATGTTCATATTTTTTTGTTGTTTTTTTTGTTTTTTGTTTGTTTGTTTTTTGTTGCTGTTTTTTTTTTTTAAATAGTAGATAAGCTTTCCTATCGCCCTGTCAATGCTTCTCTTGGAAAGGTATACAGGCTCATCCCGTGTTTCCTGTTTGAAAAGGTGTTCTCGGATCCTTTAATTTTCACTGGCCTTAGTAGTGGTGCTGTCATGAATATCTTGTGACGTGTGCGGTTTGTATTAACGTCTCTTTATACTGAGAGGGACCAGGTTGACAGTTTTCTGGTTGCTGTTCCCGAATGATAGTTGGGAGACCGATCTCTTGCGTAGCGTCTTGAAAAGCTGCTCTGCTTAACAGTTGCATAATATCGTGCCATGTCCATGTCACGCATGATTCGGTTTTCCTGCATTCACCTCCAGTGGAAAACCTTGAAGCCACACTATGTTGCTGTCTGCACCAGTTCCTATAAACAACCAAAAACATAAACCTAGACCAGCTCAGCAAAAATCATCTAAACCCCTTAATATTTCCTTCTCCAATAGCCGTGGTATTCGTACCAACGTAAGCAGTGTGAAATCGTTCCTCTTCGAAAAGTCTCCTGATATACTAGCTCTCTGCGATCAATCGTCAAACCCCTCCTCTGATTTCTCAATTTCCGGTTACCTTCCTCCTCTTAGAAAGGACCTTAAAGTCCACATGGATAACCCGGAATTTTATGTCTGCAATCATCCAATCATCTCCCACTGGCCAGGGAACTCTCTTTTGAATCTCCTAACCATTCGTATGTGTTTCTCCGTCTATCTCTCTTTAATTCGGTAAGCTATCTCTTCTTTCTCTACCGTTCCCCTTCGTCTCAAGACTGCAGTGTGCTTGATAGTATTTCCGGCGATATAGACAAGGACATCTCTCTGCACCCGTTTGAAAATATATTCGTGTTCGATGATTTTAACGCCTACCATACCAGGTGGCTTAAAAAACTCTGTTACTGACCTCGCGGACAACCCAATCCCTCACGCAAGTGTTTGACTTTCCCACGGGTTTCCCCAGTAACCCTGCCGGTAACGCGACAATTCTCGATCTCTGTTTTACCTCTATCAATGACTCTTGTCACGCTACGCATCCCTGCCCTCTTGGCAACTCTGATCACGCGGTAGTGCTTATAAACATTTCCTTCCACACCAGTAAAGCTTATACACAGAGATTGGAACAGAGAAGGAGAGAGCGCGTGCGCGCGCCTGAGAGAGAGAGAGAGAGAGAGAGAGAGAATAGATAAAATAGATAAATAGATAAAATAAAATGATTAAAAGAACGAGAAATTCAAAGAGGTGCGTACATACAAGGCAGGCGACTTTTTTTTTCAGCCTGAACGAAATGTATAGCAAGAAGTGATTTTTTTTTTTTTGTTGATAATGGCTAGGCTAGTAGGGACGGAATTTAAGCCTCTCAGGCCGAAGAAAGTGTGGGTGTGTACAATGCTATGATCACCGAAGTGACAGCATTAACTTTTTGTGGAAGCGGACACTCCATCATTCGTGAACCACGCGATCCAAAATAAGCTCCATTAGATGTACGAGCGAAAGAAATCACCAATCGTGCTCATCTCTTTGGTTCGCACCTGCTTGATGAGCTGCTGTAGCCCACATGAATCACTTCTTCCGCCTGTAACGAAGCGACATGATTGCGACAGACGTCTATTTTTCACCGCTCTTTTCAGGTGGTTGCCTGGACGAAAAGTAAAGCAATTTTTCCGATAAAATCTCATTATTGCCTTTGTTTTGTCTATGATCCGTCAGCAACGTCTTTAAAAATCACATCTCTGTCGCCTCAAAAACCTTCTTCGTCTGTGGAGAGATTGTGCAGAACTCACTACTATGTAGGAGATTGGCTATCACAAACAACTTCAGTACTATTTTTCTAATCCTTAATACTTTGTTTAATTCTGGAAGACGTCTTTCGATATTCCTACGCGGATTTCACAGACTAAACAGAATAAGGCCACTCCTATTTATACCAGAATTATTTTATTCCTATACTGAATACTATTTTCTATGCTATTTTACAGACTATAAGTGCAAATGTTCCTAACGTTTTACCGGAACTACGGTGATTAGACGCCGAATCTTCGTACGTAATAACAGACTGTGATGGCTAATACAGGTTCAACAGGTTAACCTTAATTTCCCTGCATATTATAGCGATAAGCCCTATGTACAAACATGCAAGCTGAAAATAATTTGTTATTTTTGCTCAGTTGTGAATGTATCTGTCCGCCATTTTCTTCTTTTCACCAGAACAGAGGATAAAGCGTAAGAACTATATTTCCTTGCGCATGTGCCAATACTGTTTCCCGAGAAGACAGAAAATTGTCTTCTCGTTATGGCATCTGAACAGTTTGGGCTTAATTAGTGCTTATAGGGAAACAGATAAAGTACTGTTTTATATAGTTAGTCGATACTTCAAGTGAAAGAGAGAAAGAAAGAGAAAAAGTTTGTATGGAAACTATAGCGATATATTCACACGCAAAGAAACTTAAATCCATGCATTTGAAAAGCAACCTTGTAGACGTGATGCATCCGAAAATGACATTGTAGAGTTTGAACTCATGCATATAGAAAAAGATCATTCATTTTTTTTCTCTTCCAAAAATGGACGCATTTCGTGTGTTAAACTAAGAGGCTTCTCGACTGACACAGAAGAAACGAATGGATACATTTTTTCTACAGGAAACGCATTCAAAATGTTCGTAGAAAAAGCATAAGAAAACTATGCGAATATTTGCATATTTTTGCAGCAAAGTCGACATACTGTAGAATCCGAGTAGACATACTTGTTATAACCTGTAAAATCCAGAACTATTGCGAAATAATAGACTGGCGTCTACCTCAGTTTAAAACATTCTTTCTTGGAGAAGCAGAGTTCTGTTAATATTGAAAAACAAACATGGAATATAGGGTGCGTGGATAAATTGACGTCAGAATCTCGCAGAAATTAAAATAATATTGCTGTCTCATTTTAACAGATACATTTACCAGAATTACCCAAAAATATCTTGAAATACTAAATACCTCCTCAAGGCACTTGATGTAGGCCTCCGTGTTGAGTCTGAGGCCCTCACCAATACATTCGGAAGTAATTTCTTTTCTTATCAGAACGATCATAGTGTGTTTTCCGAGATGCTGTAACTTCGGAATCACTATTAGACTCATCCAACTCTTTATGAATCCGCTGCACTCTCCTTAGACCGACGCCCAAACAGTCAGAAATGTTCGTATGGAAGCTTCCGGTGCGAATGCCAAGCAGTACAACATGAGGTTTCCAAATTTATGTCACAGTGAATTGTGTCATGGTGCTCTTTTTATCACAGACGGTGCCCAACTGACACTAGTATACTGTGCATTCGGTAAAATCAAAAACAAGTGGCATGTGCGAAATTAAAAATATAAAATGGCGACTATTTACCCCTCGTATAATGGTGAAACTTGATTAGAAGAACTGAAGAAATTATTAATGCTTTGAAAAAAAGTTCATGAAAATAATTCCCCGAAGAAATCATCAAATGGATAACTCCGTTTCAAAGAAGAACGAAACGGAATTAAAGATGCTAAACCCAATGGGAGGCCATCAATACCTGCTTGCGAGGAAAAAATCGATACTATTTAAGATTTCAAGGCGATAACAGACATCCCTGCCTGTTCAGCCTACAATGAAGATTGGGCAAATGTTTTGCTGATTAGGTAGCAAAACTATTGCGCTGACACCAACAACAGACAAAAGCAGAGCTTTCAGTGTAAATTTTAAACAAAATGGGGTCAGAATCTTGAAGCCCTACCGAAAAGAATTGTAATTAAAGATGAAACTTGGCTTTATCATCGTAAAAACAGTCAAAACAATAGTTACTCGAATGCAAAAATAGTCTAATCAAAGTAAAAGCTAGACGGCACGGCGATTGCAAGACTTTTTAGATGAGAAAAAGACAGTAACATTTGTCTTTTGCGAAAGTGTTTTGAGAAAATTAGCATAAAAAGGTTCCTGAAAAGCATCCCCAGAAAATCCATACCTACTGGCGACAAAAAATGTACCGAGACACTCCTCTCATCAAACAAATGGAAAATTGCTAGAATTTTGATGGCAGTTAGTTACATTACGTTTTAGTTAATTTTGATGGTAGTTAGTTACATTATTTATTTTGATGGCAGTTACATTACTTATTTTGATGACAGTTAGATACATAACTTATTTTAAGCTTGATCCTTTTATTTCCTAGTCTGAATTTTTCTTAAATTTACCCATTTTGTGAATCATTAATAAAGTAAAACTGTCTGCTTTAAAATGGCTAAATTTTCAGACCTTCACTTCTTCCCTGATTGTCTAAGCGGCCGGTATCATCGCTCAGAGAGTTGAAGGGACTTATGTTAAAAAATAAATATTAGGCTTAAAAATGTTTGCTTTTAATTTCATTTTTCCATGAACTCTTTGAATGCTTCTCATAAGTCTTTTTGTCGACTGTATCCTTTATTCTAAAAAGTTATATTTTAAATATTTTCAGTAGACACGACGCATATCTCTCAGGAAATATTACGATCCATTCGCAATTAAAGACACGACAGAGCTTTCAACATATTCGATGCGGTGTAATGTTTATAGGCATAAAACCAAATCTTTTTCTCCCAGCTATGGTTAAATA